TGATGGGGGTTTCCGTATTCTCTGTTGCTCTGTGCGGCGAGTGGCGGCTCGAATGAAGTTTTTTGGGTATTCGTTTATTCTGAGGTCCACAATTACGCTCTGTGTCATTGGAGCATAAGTTTCTAGCTCTCTGGAGTAGCATGCTCACAACCGAGGCCCTGTGGCAGGCAGGGTAGGAAAAATCAAATTGAAGGTAGCGGTTAGTGTGCGTTGGCTTCTCATGAACGGAAAACTCCAGGCCGTAGCGCTTTCTTGTCAGCTGGACATCGAGAAAGGGCAGGCAGTGGTTGCTTTCACACTCGGTCGTGAATTGTATGCCTGGGTGCACGATATTTAGATGTCTGAAGTTTTTAACTTCAGACATCATCATGACGCAAAAGCAATCGCCCATATAACGGAGAAAAAGCTTGGGTCGTGGCGAGAAGGAGCTGAGTGCTTTCTCTTTTATGTACTCCATGGTCAGGTTTGCCATTGTGACGGAGATGGAAGCTCCCATCGCGGTTCCACTGTTCTGCCCGAAAATAGTTCCTTTGTAGGACAAGTATGTACTGGACAGGCAGAACACCAGTAGACGGCAGAGCTCGTCAACCGCCAAAGGAGTCTTTTCACTCAGGCTTGCGTCCCCCTCAAGCGCAGAACGGGCAGAGGAGACAGCTAAGGAAACTGGCACATTGGTGAACAATGAAATGACATCAAACGAGACCAGGCTCTCGTCATCGTCGACGCTCACATCTGACGCTAGCTGCATGAAGCGGCTGGAGTCACGGACATGAGTTGGTGTCTTCCGGGTTAGGGGGGCGAAGATTTGGTGTAGAAAATAAGAAAGGGCTTGGCATGGGGAGGAAGTGAAGTCTACAATTGGTCGCAAGGAGACGTCAGGCTCGTGAACTTTCGGTAATCCATAGAAACCCGGCGCGGATACGTTACGGCAGATTAGTCGCAGGTAAAGTGTTCCGAGATCCAGATAATGCTTGAAAATTTCCGCGAGTAGCTTGTTTAGCTGTGTATGAGTTTGCTTCGTTGGGTCCTTTACTAGCTGCATGTATGCATACCCTTCTAAAAGAGCTGAAATCTTCAGATCGTAGTCCCCGCTGTCCAACACCACCATCAAATTGCCCTTCTCGGTGGGCAAGATGACAATGCTCCGATTCCGTCGGAGTTCCCGAAGTGCTTGGTTCTCTTCTGTGGTCAAGTTCCCATTCCTTTGTAATGGTAATTTCCAAAGGATCCAAATTGATTTCAGCCTAATTTCTTCTCTGGCATATGGCCTCATGCTCTGGACGGCTGCCTCTACAGTCGCGACAAGTTTCAGTAGACAGGGCGTCATTGACATGTTATAGCCGTATCCTTTTGTTAGAACAGAAGTTTGCCGATCAGTGAGTTGACAAATGAAAGATTGGTGACAAACCTGGAATTATGGTGGAACCCCGGTGCAACATATAGGAAAGTTTCTTATCCTGAGTGGTCCGGAGCTTTTTTGCCTAACGACGCCACAACGAAGTCCGCAAACGCCTCTATCGCAGACATCAACTCAGGAATGCGGTGCTCAAGTTGACGCTTTGGTAAAGAACAGGTCCAATTCTTTTTTCCGTAGAGAGGCGTTCATTTCATGAAGGCAGGTGTTGATCACTCGTTCGGCTCTCGTGACGACTTCCAAGCCTTCATGGGTCGAGACAGGTCGTTTTAGGCGCAGGCTTTGAGGAATGACTTTCCTTTCTTTGCAGGTGCGACTGAATACGAGATCAACTTCCAGTTTCATACCCAACCAGACAGACATTCTGACCAATGTTAACATTTATGCTCCCAGTTCTGGTGGATGATTATGATATGTAAGCTGATAAACACATAACACACTCAGCCTCACACACACATAGACTGCACTATTTACAAAGTTTTTCAGGCTTGTGACCCATGAGGAAATCGGTAGGGACTTTCGTTGTGTCTAACACACTAGAGCATTTCTCCTCATGAGCCCAAAATATGTCCAATCTCGAAGTCCCGTCGGAGATTTAAGGCCATTGAGCAAAAAACTTTGGCAGTGCCGTATGCCTTTCACATGTGTTTCGTTGCGCGAGTCAAGTCTTTGCACCGGCATTGGCGCAATGATTATCGACAAGCATGTGTAGACCGCATATAATGGGAACGCCCAAGGAGCAGCCCACCTATGAAGAACACCATCGAGAGCAGAGGCAAAACTGCCACTATCAGGCTCGCCAGTCACCTGCCTTCACCGAATAGATTGGGTCCTGACTTTCTCCCATACAGTTAAACCCTTTTATAAAAGGCATGCTCCAAGCAGCATTTCCTGTTTTTTTACATCAGATGTTTTTTACAAGCACAAGTACCTCGTAGGCATGTTCTTATCAACCTGTATTTTACTGTAGGCCCACTAGTGTCTCTTATTCCCGTTTGTTTCTAATATCAGTGTCTCTTATAACGGGGTTGGACTGTATATGCTGTGGTGGTGCTGACACTCCCTGTAAAGTTGTTTGTGCAGCGTGGCGCACGTGTCACGCCCAAAAGTCGCATTTCCGGTTACGACCACCGGGCGGTAGGTGGCATTGTGTTCGCATTGATCACCACTATCATAATGATGGTGTAGCGCCAGTGGTGACCCCTGGCGGAAGGCAAGCCTTGGTGGCAGGCGAGAGTTGAGCGACTCTCTTCTGCGCGTGGTGGTTGCCGCGAACGGTTGTCTCTAGAGTGGGTCCCAGGTGCGTGGCACCGCGGGCTGCGCGTTCGGGGCCCTCGTGGTAAGTCAAGCATTGGTAATGCCGCCTTGGGTGTGTTATTATTGTGTTTGTCATGTCATTGTGTGTTTGTCATGAAGTGTATGGTATTATTTTGTACGGATGTCCTAGCATGTTGATAACAATTTATGTATCGATTCGGTGGACGATATCATCGTTATAAATTAGTTGAATAAATGGTGTGTTTGGTTTGTACCGACTGCGTCTGCTGTGTCCATTCACTCCAAGAGCGTGGCGTGGTGCTTGTCAATTCAAGCTGCCCAACGTGGAGCTCTTGGAGTATCGGACGACAGTTTTCGCAGTTTGGTACAATCTTTTGCTGGAGCCGGGGGACTTCTTTGCTAGCGACGATGGTGTGCTTGTTGAGAGCGAGGAGGTTGGTATTGGTGACGTGTTTGAACTTCTCGGCACTCGAGATTTCTTTTTTTTTTTTTTTGCTCGCAAGTGGTTTTTTGTTGTTAGGTTTCAATAACTTTGTTCAGTTGAGACGAGAGCCAAGCGGTCTGCATCCTGGGGTGAGCAAGGCTCAGACCACGCGGTTTGTAGGCTAGGCCCGAAGCAAGTTAGTATGGAAGTCTCGTGGGTGGTTTGATTTTCTGTAAATAGCTTCTTCTATCTCTTTGGGATCAGGGAGCTGGGCGTCGTTGTACTCAGGTATTGCAGCTCGACGCCGAGGCGTCGTAACACCGTTCGGGACAGGTGGACGCCGATCCGCTCGGTAAGCTGCTGTGTGCGCCGAGTGATAGGGCCACCTTACAGAGTGGATGTCTTCTTGCGGCTGCCTCTTCTGCACCTAGGCTGGGTGGATGCCAGTTTTTCGTCGAGCGACTCATTAGGCCTAAGGCTCTGCGCAGCCGTCTTTCGCACGTGGCACAACTAGGTGGATCGTGGTGTTGATGTGTAGCACTCTGCTTCCCTCACTTTTTTTCATCTTGCAATGTACTAGCTATCAAGAGTAATTTTTGTTTTATTTTGATGGTCGTCTCGGCCACCGCCGATGTATTAGCTAGCAGTACTGACCATCGTACCACGTGGGCGAAAAGCCCGAAGCTCCCTTCTCTAGGCCCTGCTCTACTGTTTCTGTCGAGTGTTTTGGAAAGTACGCAGCGGGAGGGATGTAATCTATGGCTGGCTGTCTTCTGCACATCGTCAGCACTGCTGGCCAGGAATGCGGTCGTAAGGTCAGGCGATGGAGATGCCTGGGACCTGCGCAACTGCCTGCAGTCCGGCGCCCTCGAGAGTGCTGGTCGCAACCGGAAGATGTGTTGGCGCGAGTGACGGATCATTGCGCCGACGGCAACGTTGCTGTTGTGGGACCGGTACTGAGGATTCACTGAAGTCGAGCCGGACATTATGAAGGAACATGTGTTGCGATTTTCTTTTGTTAGAGCTTGTGTAGCTGATTTCTTTGTTTTTCGGAATATGGTTTGAATTAAGGTTGAAAGAATGTAGGGTTGCTGACAACCCCTGTAAAGTTGTTGGCGCTGCGTGGCGCACATGTCTCGCCCAAAAACCGCATTTCGGGTTACAACTACCGGGCGGTAGGCTGGCGTGATCGCGTTGATCACCACTATCATCATCTTGGTGTAGCGCCTGGAAGTGACCCCTTGGGGAAGGCAAGCCTTGGTCGCGGGCGAGAGTTGAGCGACTCTTTTCTGCACATGGCGTTTGCCACGAACGGTTGTCTCTAGCGTGAATCCCTGGTGCCTGGCACCGCGGGCTGCGCGTAGGGGGCCCTCGTGGTAAGTCAAGCATTGGCGACCCCGCCTTGGGTGGGCTATTATTGTGTTTGTCATGTTATTGTGTGTTTGTCATGGAGTGTATGGTAATATTGTGTACAGATGTCCTAGCGTGTTGATAACGATTGATGTATAGATTCGGCAGACAATATCGTCGTTATAAATTAGTTAATAAATGTGTGTGTGTTTGGTTTGTACCAACCGCGTCTACTGTGTCTGTTCACTTCCAAAAGCGTGGCAGTGGTGTTCGCCATATCGAGACACCACAATGCATTAACTTCTTTCGCTGTTGCTGGCGCACGGTTTGTCTGTCTTCAAAATGCAGTATAAAAAGGCCTTGGTACTTTTCGTCAGGAAGGCTTCCTTATGCCTAGTGCGCAATAACAAGAAACACATAATAAGTAACAGATGCAACCTCCTTCACGCTAGAAGGAAATATTGAATGGTAGATACCTCCTACCGCTAATGCTCACATGAAAGCCGACTGGTTGATGAAGAACCACAATTCTGATCACTGTGGAAATTAACGTGTTTAATGCAGCTGCTTTACAACTTTACAGCTATAGCAAGTGTTCTGGTGCCATAATAAATGACTCAAATGCAAAATGAAGACATTAAAATAAGTATGTGTACAATGCATTGTATACTATATATGTTAAATTAATAATTAAATATGCTCAAGATGAAAGAGTATTATGCAAACAAACATACAAGTCTTAAAACAATGAACGAATGCCAGTTCATCATGGCTATGCTAAAATGGCATTAGCATCACAAAAATAAAGCCACCTGCCAGCATGTGGCAGAAATAAAAGGCCCGCACTGAATTCCTGCTTGCAGTGCATGCAAAATAAGATCAGTAACACAACTGCTAACTCCAGAGCAGGCACAAAGGAAGCAATCAAATTAATAACTATAAACTCTGCCCAAATGACTCCACTAACACTGCTGCTAACTTCGAGCAAGCACAAAAGAAGCAATCAAATTAACAACTCTGTCCAAATTACTCGAACTGTCCGAACTGTCCGAATTACTCTGTCCAACTCTGCCCAAAGTACTCGGCGCTTAACAAAATAAACTTCCGGTCATTAGGCTAATGTGTTTTAGTCCCAAAAGCAATACTTTGTGTGTGCATATAGACAGTCACAGGTCCAGACACTGCATGAAAAAACTAACATAGAAGGAAACCACGCCCTGTGCAGGCTTAAGCAGGGAAATATGCAAAATTTGGATGTAGCCCTAGCACTAGTCTTTAGATTACATTTTAAACAATTCATTCCACCCTCCGTACGTTGATTTGAAAAACCTCCTATTCTTAGCAGGGGGTGAAGCCACAGAAGACTCGGCGGTGGTCCGCGCTGATCCGCTCCGTGCATGGGCAGCCGCAGGTGCCTGCAACAAAGGAGGCATGTTTTGAAAGCACCCAGCCTTTTGAAATAAATCGTGTAAAGAAAGAAATGAAGCTTGTTCATGCTCCAAAAGTTCACTAATCACATAATAAAGCGCAATTCCACATTAAAGAGACACTAAAGAGAAACAATGCGTTCATTTAGATTGATAAACTGCACTCTGAGATCTCCAATGTAATAAGTTCATTATTAGCGGAGAAAACAGAGGTTAAAGTTTCACTTTTCAAATTTCGTGCCGAAATCTCGAGCGGGTGACATAAGAAATTCCAATGTATTTTTGATACTTTCATTGGCTCGATAAAATTTTCTGATACTTCGTATGCTAAGTCCATGCCCCCACAGATTACAATGTACTTCATTTTATTGATTAGAAGCTACGTAGGACCCACATAGCAAAGAATGGCAGGTTGTCAGAAATGTGCTGTGAAATGAATAGGATTTAAAATACTAACATTTGTCGGAGATATCAAATCAAACCGTAAAAGCATTTTAGAAGTAACCGCAGTCTCACACAACTGTAGCCAAATAAGCAGCAGATAATCAGTATGAGATAAAAGCAATGCTGCTCATTTTGGAATTTGATAACATTAGCCTGCATGTCTAGCAGAGAAAAAAAACAGCACAATGAGCTATATGCTTAATGCCAATTCCTGTCGCACAAGTGAGATCAAAGCTGATAATGCTGCACACTTGTAGCTCACTGGGATAATAGTACACAGCTTCTTTTCAGTTTCTTTAGGACTTATGAGTTGGTCAAACAGTAAAGTTGGTCATTTTCATTCTCTCAGCATCAATTTGGAGCAGGTTTAGAGCAATTATTAATAAAAATTCTTGTTTGGGGCAGCATGGAGCAGCAATTCAATTTTGAAGCTGTTTGGAGTAACTGGTGCAGCCCTTCCATCACTGAGAGAGATATTACACCGCACCATTTCAAAATGTTTGCTTTGGGCACATAGCTCCAGCGGACGCCACAATAAATTTTCGTGAAAGCCACGCAAAGCAGCAGCGAGAGAGCAGAGATTTACAATAAAGCAACGCACTCCTTTTTATATCACAGGGAAATTTTCAATGTCCTCTTCGTTGCGGATTTTGTCTGTTCAAGGAACTTTGCCGTGTGAGCTTGCACAAAGAAGGTATGTATACATCAAGCACTCTTAACTATCACAAGATCCACCCGAGCTACAAGATTCTGCAACAGAGACTGAGAATTGTGCAGTGGAAATTGAGGCTAGCCCACTGCCTTTGTGCGGGCTTTCCGCCTTCTCTGTCGTTCTCATTTCCCGACATGACTTCCCTTCTCCGCTGTTTGTGTTGCCACAGGCAATGAAGTGTTGCGGCCTTGAGCAGTACTGTGTTCTCGCTATGAGGACAGTTAACGCGTGCCTTGCGGCTCACTGATACGGGACCCACGCTAGTGGCCGCACTCATTCGGGTTACGTGTACACTACAGTGCCTATAGCTCAAATAAGACATCTGCTAAAAGCTTTACTAGTAAAACAACAAAAAGAAGCTCAGAATTGTAATCATGTTGTATGACACAGGTTCTGATTTAGCTTTGTAACTCAGCTGTTTCAATAAGACATTTGCTCATTAGTCAATGCAGTTTATGAATGCTCAAAGTTACCAAATTATCATTTCTTTTCATGCTGCCATTTCATTTCATTGCATTTTCAGGGGTGGAAGTGCACTTCAGTGTTTTGAAGCAGCTCAGGGAGCAGAAATAATGCTGCTTAGGACTACTGTTGGCACAGTTTTTTTTTTTTTAAGAGAAGTTTTGGAGCATGTTGGGAGCACCAGAAGGTGTGTTTGGGAACAACACGAGTTAGTTTTGGAGCAGCCTTCTAGGGTCAAACATCATCGTCAATGTAAATTTTTTCTAATAAAAAGAGTCACACTTTGCTGCAAGCGAAACAATGAACGCAGTAGCAATGAATTGAAAGGTTACGCGCAGTATGGCAAGCAGATCCAAACATGCCCCTTGTTCCTCACGCACAAATGATGCATGAAACGTACTCACAGGTACAAATGAACACGAATAAGCATCTCAGTTGTTAGTTCGCTGTATCTGAAAAGTGTGCCCTTTATGCGCTTAGTAAATACAACAGAATCGTTCTGGTGATAGCCCAAGGCCAGCCAAGACCTACGAGTGTCCCCACTGAGAGAGAAGTGCGCTTTAGTGTCCACCCTGCTCCTTCTTTGCGGGGCAAAGTACGCATGGGAGATGACAGCGCGAGCCGCCGCGTCGTGACGATGTGGTGACACGTGCTCACTGTGCCATCTTGGTTAATGCTGAAAACATGATAGTTCCTCCCGAGATGCCCGTCAGAAGCAGTAAGTGGTAGATATAAATAGCTTGCCGTTTGAACGATGAAGGATGCTTCGAGGCTCAGTTGTTAGCACCTCGCACTCATAATTCAGAGATTCCACCGATGCTACTCGCCAGAGTCTTTTTTCGAATTATTTTTCTTTCTTGCGTTTTCATATATATAGATTTGTATACATATACGGTGAGTGTCATTGACGCCGGTGGCAAAATCCAGTGAAGAGTGTCCATATAATTGATTGATTGATATGTGGAGTTTAACATCGCAAAACCACCATATGATTATGAGAGACGCCGTAGTGGAGGGCTTTGGAAGTTTCGGCCACCTGGGGTTCTTTAAGGTGCACCCAAATCTGAGCACATGGGCCTACACCATTTCCGCCTCCATCGAAAATGCAGCCACCGCAGCCGGGATTCGATCCCGCGACCTGCGGGTCAGCAGCCGAATACCTTAGCCACTAGACCACCGTGGCGGGGCTGTTTCCAGTCTCGATGGTGCAGCACTTTTGTTCACAGACATTTCCTTTGAGCAGCGCCAAGACACTTCGATAATCTCTATGATAGAGGTACTGTCTCAGCTGCCCCAAGGTATCGCCAATCGTTCACGACGACGTACAGCTCGATATTTCGCCATCTGTGATGGACTCCTGTATCGTCCCAACTACCTTTCCGACAGCCTCAAGTGGTTGCTTGTGATTCCTCGCCATCTACGTGCTGCTATTTGAGACCCCTTTTACATAGATCCTTAATGCGGCCATGCTGGTGTGTTAAAAACGTATGCACGCCTCCGGCTACGGTACTATTGGCGCGGAATGTACCGATTTGTCAGACAGTACGTACGTTCATGTTCCAACTGTCAACACCGAAAAAGCCCACTGAACATAGCCAATGGGCAACTGCAGCTGTTGCCTTGCCCATCCCGACCTTTTGACCTCATTGGAATTGACTTGTACGGTCTCCTTCCCTACACTTCTGACGGGAACCGCTGGGGGGTTGTTGCTATCGATCACTTTACACGCTATGCTGAAACTGCTGCGCTGCCAGAGGCCACATCACGTGAAGTTGGCTTGTTTATCCTTCACAATCTTGTTCTTCGCCATGGTTCGCCTTGTGAGCAACACAGCGACTGCGGACGTACGTTTATTTCCGAAACCGTGCAAGCCCTTCTTCGTGATTGCAACGTTATGCATCGGACAACCCGCGCATACCATCCGAAAACGAATGGGATGACTGGATGGTTTAACTGCACATTGGGCGACATGCTATCTATGTACGTGTCCGCTGACCACACAAACTGGGACCGCATACTCCCCTTTGTTACTTGCGCTTACAATAGCGCCATTCAGTCTACAACAGGATTCTCCTTGTTCTTCCTCCTCTACGGGCGCGAGCCTTCCTCATTCATCGACACTATTCTCTTGTACCGTCCGGACGCTTCAGAATCCACAACTACAACTCTATTCGAAGTTGCCACTTATGCGGAAGATCGCAGGCGATTTGCACATTCCTTAACCGCACAAGATCAAGCGTACCAGAAGGACCGTCATGATGAAGACCAACCTCCCCAATCATATTCGCCTGGCACGTTGGTATGGCTTCGTGCTCCCTCCTCTGCTCTTGGTCTTTCCACCAAGCGTCTGCCGAAGCACAAAGGCCCCTACCGAGTCCTATGTCAGTGCTAACAGATTAACTATGTTGTTGAGCCGATTCAAACATGGACAGACCTACGCCGTTGCGACCATGAGACTGTTCATGTCGATTGATTGACACAGCACTACAACCCACCTGGTTTACCCGTTACATAGGTCGCCAGGATGGCTCCTTTTCTGAGGAGGGGAGTGATCTGTAGCAATGAAATATGGCACAGGCAGGAGTGCCAGTGAAAGAAGAGAAGGAAGAGTGTTGTTGCTGCTCGCGCTTTCTCCGCTTGACAGCTGGTCGGCTTTACCTCTGCGTTTCCCCCAATAAACATGTTTTCTGCTCACTGCTAAAGACGCACTAACAAGACATTCAACATTCTTCAAAAAAGATGATAATGCTAGCCAATTCAAGATGGCATTGCTAAACATTCCAAGCAATTCACTTAAAACACAGGCAGATGTAAGTTGTAAGCTGAAAAGCTCTCATATTTCGAGAACCGCCGCTCTAAAAAGAATCTCTATGGCAATCTGAAATCGGATCAGAAAAATTAATCAAAAGACTGAAGTGTTGTCACAAGGTCATCCATTCTGTGGCTACTGACATCATAACCATAATTTTTTTTCCACTTTACGAAGACTGCAATAGGAAATAAACATTCTAATACCTTATATGGTTCCATTTCCCCCCAAACATCAGTGTGACTATCAATGCTAGAAACTAGAGGTCATGTATTTACTATACTTACTAAACAGCAGCATGCCTACTTTTGTGTTTAAGCATGGAAATGATGATTATAGGTATATGAATTTGCATAAAATTATATCCTTATGGTTTAGATGCAATTTAGGTTTTGCAAATTAGCAGCTTTCAATGAAATGTTGTGCTATAAATACATAAGTTTTCGCAATGATATATACTCCTACACGCAGATACTCACTGCCTTGCTGTACTTAAACATCAATGAGTGAATTGAGAAAAGTAAAGCATAATAAATAATGTCACAACATATGGTATTTAGGTTTTAAGTATGAAGATTAGACAAATCCATTTACTAACTGGAAGGTATCAACGCCACAGATCCCTGTGCTGGTTAGCATTTGTAAAATCGCCAACAAAAAGCTCTATGCCACAATCAACAAGGCATGGTAGTGAACCGGAAAGGCTGTAAGAAAAACCTAGCCCTCAATGTGTTATTGTTAAAACTTTAACACCTTCACTTCATTTCTCCACTTTCACGAATAAACTAAATCTGACCTAGAGCAGTGCCTTACCACTGGAGAGGGTGCTGTCTACAGCTTTTCTGTTGTCGCACAGGCAAAATGTCCATTTATTGCATTATTTACAGTGAATTACAGCAAGTACACATTAAATGACACTACGATCCCCTGCAATTTAGGTAGAATTCATCCTCCTCAACCAACTTGCACTAAAACTAATAAAGCAGTCCAAGTAGTGAAAAAAAAAAAGAACAAGCTACAGAGCCCATGCATGATTTATGAGCAGTGACCTTGTAGCTTGTAAAACAGAAAAACAGAAACTACCTCAGGTGCTTCTGCAAACAGGTCAATGTCACAGGGTGATGCCTCTCTGCTGGCTTCACCACGCCTAGTTTTCTGAAACATTTCATGGTGAGCATAGTGTAAATTAGCAGACAACCGCATAGAGCAGACAACAGTACAGAGCAGGCAATGAACATAAGCACATTAATACAGTCGAATCTCAATAATTCGAACTCAAAGGGGCCCGAAAATTTGTTCGAATTAATGAAAGCTAAGTAAACATAGGGCTCCCCATGCAGTGGCGCATGTGCATTGAGCTAACACACGAGGGGGAAGTTTTAGAAGACTTCCATTTATTCACAAATCACAGGACATCCGTCATTATTTGAAGTAATCTGTGATTACTTCAGCACACGTTTGCCTTGCAGCGAGTCAATCAATTTCGCACACAGCTTGCAAAGCATGTCTACTTCGGCTTCAGCATTCTCCTGGTAAGGGAAGTTGCGCGCGGCAATGTCCAGCGCCGACACTCGAAGACCACGATGACTGCATCACCGCTACTACCCTCCGCGCCAAAGTCGCAGCGTGGCCAGCACGTGACAAGAAAGGAGGAACGTCTCCACGTGGAGAGAAGCAAATTGGCATTTGAGATAAACCGACACTCCACGGCAGCTTTTTTCCCTTGTTCTCTTCGGGTGCGTGCTTGAAAAAAGAAGGGTTACGTGGCAGGGACGAGAAAGGGGGAAGCGTGGCACCGGCTCATGAGAGAGAACCATACTCAGCGACAGCTTTTTTTCTCTCTCTCTCTCTTTGCACGTAGCGATGGAAAAAAGAAGTCTTTACGTGGCAGGGGCGAGAAAGGAAGAAGCGTGCACAGGCGTTTCGCAAATCAGCATTTGAGAGAGAGCAAACATTCCACCTCAGCCTTTTCTTCCCTTTTCCTTTTTTTCGCACTCAGCGTTGAGGTGTCGGAGGTGCCGCCACGGGATTGGGCGAGGTGCTAAGAGTATTTTCGGAGCGCGGTATGTTCGAATTAACCGTTAAGAGTGCTTGCGCGTTCGAATTACCGGGCGCTTTCGCCCATTGAAATACACATAGCTTTGACGGGACCTCATCGTGAGTTCGAATTAAGCGTGTTCAAATTAATGAGATTCGACTGAAATACCTTTGTGGCAAAAAACACGACCAGATGACAAACAATCACAAAAAAAATTTGCTGACAAAAGCACATTAATATTACCTTTGTGGCAAAAAACAGCAACCAGAAGGCAAACAATCTCATAAAATTCGCTGACAGAAGCAATGCTCTAATGTACTATTAAATTAAAATGTTTCTTTATTACTGTACTATATTGTAATTTTTGCATTAAATAAAGGCCTAAATACTAAATACCCTGAATTCTTGAGACTTACTGGCAGTTGTCACAGCACCTTAAGTCCCTCAATTTTACTTTTCTCTTCGAATCAGGTTTATAGTTTCAACAACCAGAAAATGAATGAGTTCAAATACATGTGACAACCCAGCCAAAAGTTCGGTGCAGCACTACAAATGATACAGCTGGTTCAAACAGGTGCAACAATGACAAATATGCCAGTGTGTGTGCATCAATCTTGTTTTTTATGAGCAACACCACTGCACCTAACCTTTTCGCTAAACGTCAGCGAATTTCACCCATTGTCAAGATACTGAAGAAAAGAGACGCTGACCCCAAACATTAAAGTAAAGTTTAAATTACGACATGTAAGCTGTAATTTTAACATTAAAGATGATGTAGTTCCCCACAGTTTGTGCGATGTCACAAGAAAATTTATCAAGGGGGTGTGCGCTAGCAATGTAGCAAGCCCCCATTGCTGTGTACAGCAGGTGTGAGAGTAAAAAAAAATAAAGGAAACACATGCAATATAGAGAGAGAGAGATCGAAAGAAACAGAAACAAAGAGGAGATACAGAAATAAAGGGTATAAAAACATAGAAAGATTAAAAGAACAGAAAACAGAAAAAACAGAAACAAAAAAAGCAGAGAGAGAAAGCGAGACAGGGGCCATGGAAAGAGAGAGAAAGATATAGAAAGAAATGGACAAAAAAGACAGCCAAACAAACAGCAAGAGAGGAAAAAAAAAAGAGAAATAAAGATAGCAACAAGAAAGAGTTGAAGGTGAATAGAGACAGAAATGAATAGAAACAAGAAAACAGATACAACAAAAGATGCTGGGGGCATTCGTTATCGACTTCCTCACCTTGGCACGATCATAATCACCATCATCGTTTGTCTCTCAGTCCTTCCTGTCACCGTATGTCATTATTATCACCTTCGTTTGGGTACATACTCTGCCCGTTCATTTTACGAGGTCTTGCCTCAAATAAACGCCGTCGCAACCAAGACTTCATAATATACACAAATGCTACTATATATAATGCTTCACAGAGAGTTATATAAACTTAGATGAAATGTATAGCACATTTTAAAATGTAATGTATTTTACTACTCATACTTTGCAGCCTACTCCTATTCAAAGTAGCTTGCACTTTTCTTCAAACAAAGTGATATATATACACAAGCCTGGTCTAATTTTTCAAAATATATTGTGCAAATAAGTTAGGTCACAACAAGACTACCTATATATTATATATATATATATATATATATATATAAAAGTCATTGATTGCTTCAAAGCTCAGATTTGCTATTCACGCTCTGTAATGGTATGGCTGGGACAGTCCTGATCACACAGCATTAATGAATAATCAGCAATGCCTGACATACCTAAGAAACGTTGAAGAACCCGATACTATATGCTGAAAACAATAAATTAGCACAAATCCACAGCACACACCTTCGGGCCTCGCTTACGAGAAGTTGCAGGTGTGGAAGGTTTCTTGCCCCTCTTTGGTGGTGTTGCCTTCTGAAAGAAATGCCAGATTTGTGCCTTTACTGTAGAAAGCTGCTGCGTTCAAGAATGCTATGCTTTCAGACACATCTAACAGTCCAGTGAGCTGTGCGTAAGCACACCCCAGCATTGACGAGGCACAAGTATCAAGGTTGAGCACAAATGTGTGAATTTGTGTTTACACAAAAGAGAAAAAAAGTGTAAAGCAAAAGTTCGGTGCTCAGTGATAAATGACTTCACTTTGTCAAGTATAACGACTGCTATGAACAACTGTTCATGATATTGCACCTTGTTACTAAAAAATATGGCCACTAAAGGTAATGTTGGCTCTGATGCAAGTATTTTAGTAATATCTACACAGATCTCACACAAACTGCAGATGCTGGAAATGAAAGTACTATGTACAGTGCGGTTCACTGCTAAAGAGAACACCACACTTAGGACAGTCCATATTGCCAGCCTTCAAGCAGCAAGCAGCAAGTGGATTAGGAAACAATGTTCATGCATGGCACCAATGTGAGATAATAAGTCAGAACTGTCATTCACTGGTAGTCTGACACAAAACCAAGTCATTATGTTTTTAAGAGAGAATGAAATCCAAACACGCATGTGCAGCAAGTGTTCCCTTTAACAGTGGTCCCATCTGTACATTACTGAGCCCTGAAATTTTTGTTTCAACCTGTTTCAACAAAATTTTGTTATTTCGCTACCTCAATGTATATTACACTGAGTTTCAACAGTACATACACAATGCCTCAATAAAAATCTATTGTAACACTTAGGCTTGGGTGAATATAAATTTTAGGTTGTAAGCAAACAGTGAAGCATAGCTTTGAAGTGAAAGTCACTTGGTCGAATTTCGAATCGAATTCTAATAGTGTAAATAAAAGGTTCTCAGCCATGGATGTGTCGGGGACTCCTTGTGAGCTGGTGAAAGGGATGGGGGACCCCTTGCAGCGGAGGGGAGAGAGGGAGAGGTACACAGGTAAATTAAAACACAACTAGAGTGGGAAACAGGTGCCTTTTATTGCTAACAACAACATCAAAGAAACATGCCACATCCCTTCATTTTGGACAGTTCGCCAATACGGGGCACAGTCACACTTAAAGAAAAATGCCGGTGAAGGTTGCGCAGATCATAGAAATGGCTTCCCGGACACCCTAGGGTCCGCAAAACCCCATTTGAGAACCACTGGTGTAAATAAATACAGTAGACACGAGATGATTCACTTTAATATTCATACCTTCGGTCAATTCAAACAAAATTCAATTTTTGGTTGGCCCTCTTATTTTTTCAGTGTATTTAAAAGCCCCTTATTTCAAACTCCATCATTTGGTTAATTCATACTTTTTAGGGTTCTATATTAGAAAATATCTGCTGCTTTCCCTATGTTTAAAAATTTACATGCTTTAATAATAGGTCTAAAGATGAGAAGTAAACACCTCAGGCTTTCAAGTAAAAAAAAGATTTGCTAGTACATGCATGGTAATGAAGCATGTGCATGGTAAACCACGATGCTTCTTAACTGGTATAGAGAACTTTGTGCTGAGCACATATAGCAAAGAAGCAGTTGGCAATTCACGATTGCTTTAGTAGGTCTGATCAGCAGTAAACGGTCGATAAACTTGTGGACCATACACCTTTGCTTTCTGTTCATTGCGTGTAGTGAGGGTTTAAAAACGCTTAAAGTTTTCATAATCTGATAAAATCAATGCCTAATCATAATGTGAGGTGTCACTTCACCGACAGTCATATATCTGAGAACTTCTGATAATTAAAGCTTTTTGATAATTCAAACAAAATTCAGAGGTCCCTTCGAGTTTGAATTAACAAGAGCCGACTATACATTGAAACTTTCAATAATTTAAGTTCAAATCGAAGCATACGCAAACACTGTAATATTCATGCAAATATTCGAAGCACTCAATTATTTACACAAGCCTGCGAAAAAGTGAATGACAGCACTCACTTTCTCGGTCTTGGCTCTTTCAGTGTGCTTGCCCATGCTTTCTTCCTTGTTGGCGCCAGCCAGTGCATTACTTTCTTTTTGCTTTGACTTGGTGGATGTCATCATCTCAATTTTATTCACCAATACAGAGAGCTGCGGAAGGAGTCATAGTTAACAAGGGACCTCATTCAATTCTTCACATGCTGAACACAAATATTATACATCTTTTGAACAAACCAACCCTAACATATTGCTCAATAAGGTTGAGAGCTGGGCTAGTAGGTGACTGATCATTACACTTTAATGTTAAGCAGCACACTTGTTTACAGTGGACAACAGCAACAAGAAAGACACGATACTCGCTACGAGTGTTGTGTCCCTCTTGTCGCTGTTGAGAAGTGTGCTACATTAACCTTATCGCCTAAAATATTGTCACGAGCAAAACAAGACCTACAGCCAGGAGTTCACCAGAACCAGAGCAACGAAAATGTTTTCTTCTCTTCTTCTCATCAGCCCAAAACGAGTATGAGCCACAGGGGCTGGTTTATGCAATGGTGGCATGCGTCATTACCCCCTCTCCCAAGAAGCACCGTTCGCGATGTTTACATGAAGGCAAAAAAAATGAAAAGAAAATGAGACGAAAAAATTACTATGCAAGCAAAATGAATGGTGGCAAGGCGGAAGAACTGTAGTTGGTTGTGGAGTCAAGAGTCAAATGAGAAATAAGAAAAATAGGAAAGAATATAAGGAAAAGACGAAACAGAAAGAAATACATGAAATTACCAATAAGGTCAGTCACTCCACTGGTGATTCACAGAGCTGAAAAGCATGATTTGAGACCTGAAACGTGAATGACTTCAGTTTGCAGGGGGGCGACGGGAACGTCTCGAAGTGCCTTCTGGGAGAACCTCGTAAGTAATGTCGCCGAGATGTCGTGCGACCTTGCAAGGGCCGAAGTAGCGGCGAAGAAGCTTTTCTGGAAGGCCACGCTGTCAGATAGGGGTCCACATCCAGACTTCATCACCAGGCTTGAAAATAACTTCATATAACTTCACGGTGACGAAGGTTGAAGCGGCGTATGTCTGCTGTTTGGAGAAACTGAATACCGTGATGAGCGAGTTGACGGGCCTCTTCTGCGTACTGCGTGAATTTGGCGGCATCTGTGTGGTCTATTCCTAAGTTGTCGGGCAAAAGCATGGCGTCGAGCATCGGCGTGACCTCGCGACCGTGGACTAAGCGGAAAGGTGTGAAACCATTACTTTCTTGAACAGCAGTGTCATACGCAAAAGTTATGTAAGGAAGGATGGCGTCCAAGTTCTTGTGATCGACGTCCACATATATTGACAGCATGTCTGCCATTGTCTTATTGAGACGTTCAGTCAGCCCGTTTGCTTGCGGGCGGTAAGCCGTTGTTTTACAATATTCCGTGCCACTTAATCACAAGACTTCCTACAGCATCTCTGCCGTGAAAGCTGTCCCACGATCAGTTATGACGACAGCTGGCACACCGTGACATAAGACGATGCTGTTAACGAAAAATTGGGCGACGTCTGCTGCGGTAGCTTTTGGAAGTGCCTTTGTTTCACAGTGGCGTGTTAAGTAGTCAGCAGCGACCGCAATTAACCGGTTTTCAGACGAAGACGTGGAGAATTACCCCAGCAAGTCCATGCCAATCTGATGAAAAGGCTCCTTTGGTGGGCCTATTGGTTGCAGTAGTCCCGCTGGTCGTAAAAGTAGAATCTTACGTCGCTGACAGTCGCGATATGTGCGAACGTAGTGCTTCACAAGTCTTTGCGAGACGTGGCCAGTAGTAGGAGCGATGGATCCGTTGCAGCGTGCGCGTATAGCTGAGGTGTCCGGACGAAGGCTCATCATGATCCAGACATGTAAAATGTCACCACGAAGCGTGGTTGGCACAACAAGCAGATACATAGCTTATGTAGCATGAAAGTTCATTTTTATAAAGCACTCGATCGCATAAACAAAAGGATGATAGCGAGCGTGCAAAGTTTTGAGGAGGGTGGGAATTGCGCCCTTCCAGGTAGTCAATGAGCGGGATGAGCTCAGAGTCATGACGCTGTTGCTCAGCCAAGCTGGTTGCTGATACAACAGAAAGAAAAGTGTCGTTGTCTTCAAGGTCAGTGTTGGCATTTTCGACTGGTGCACGTGTGAACGACAGTCAGCGTCAGTGTGTTTCCGTCCAGATTTGTGGACGATGGTGACATCGAAATCTTGTAGCTGAAGGCTCCATCGTGCTAGACGACTTGAGTGATCTTTAAGCTTCGCGAGCCAACAAAGGGAATGGTGGTCGCTAACCACCCTGAATGAGCAGCCATACAAGTATGGGCGAAACTTTGCTACAGCCCAGACAACAGCGAGGCATTCCTCGCTGTTGTGATCCAGTACAGGCGGAGCCTGGAGAAGGCTTCGGAGGGTGTTGAACGCATGGCGCTGGTTGGCACCCCAAACAAACGAGACGTAGTCTTTTGTAAACCTGTTTAGGGGTTCAGCAATCTTCGAAAAGTTTTTGACAAAGCGCATGCAATACGCACAAAGCCCCAGAAATTGGCGTAGGTCATGCTTATTTGTGGGCACGGGAAAGGCGGCAATGGCGCAGGTTTTCTCCAGGTCTGGCCGGATGCCGGCATGGCTCACAACATGACCAAGGAACTTCAGTTCTTCGTATCTGAAATGGCATTTCTTGGGTTTGAGAGAAAGCCTTGCTGTTCTAATTGCCTGACGAACTGCCTGAAGGCATTGGACCTGTTGTTCAAACATGTCTGCAAAGACCACAACGTCATCAAGATAAACAAGACATGATTGCCATTTGAGCCTCGTGAGAACCGTATCCCTAATTCTTTGGAAAGTAGCTGGCATGAGCATAGACCAAAAGGCAACACTTTAAACTTGTACAGGCCTTCGGGAGTAATAGAAGCCATCTTTTCCCGGTCGGGCACATCCACTGCGATTTGCCAGTAGGCGCTACGCAAATCGATGGAGGAAAAATATTTCGCATTGCATATACGGTTTAACGAGTAAGCTATCCGGGGTAGAGAATTAACGTCCTTTTTGGTGACCTTATTTAGTTTACGGTAATCAAGGCGAAAGTGCAACGTATCATCCTTTTTCTTTACTAGTACAACTGGCGAAGCCCAGGGACTGGTCGATGGCTGGATGACATCGTCCTAAAGCATCTGCTGCACTTGGTCACGTATAGGGTCTTGTTCTTTTTGCGACACCCTATAGGCATGTTGTCGGATGGGTCTCTCGGTGGGTTCCGTGATGATACGATGCTGAGGAAGTGGTGTCTGTTTAACCTTCGACGTAGTGGCAAAGCAGTCTTGAAATGAGCCGAGTATACGCAAAAGGATTTCTCGTTGAGCCGAAGGTAGACTTTCATTTACGTCGAGAGTGCTCACGAAGGCCTCGTCAGGATGGCCATTCGATGAAAATGAAGCTAACGTGGACGAACCTTTGGCATCGGCAAGTTCTTAAAAATATGCAATGGCAGTGTGTCTCGTGAGGCGGCGATATTCGTCGCTGAAGTTCGTGACCAGCAGGTGAACATGCCTGTTGCTAGGCTGAATGATTCCTCGGGCAACACAGATTTGTCATGAAATAAGGAGTGAAAAATTCGCCTCCGCAATTACTACGTCAGACACGTCCGGTCCCAATTCTACCTTGAAAAAAGGGGCTGCTTCGAGGTGGGAGAGTCAGAGAATTATTGGTAACATGGAGCGCTGTTTTCCGAAATTGCGTACTGTCATTTGCCGCGCGAAAAGGATCCTCGAGCGACACAAGTGATTCACGCAGGTCGATGGTGGCGCCGTATTCACGAAGAAAGTTCATTCCTAGAATGACTGGCCGAGAGCACACGTGCAATATGAGAAAAGAGCCCACAAATGTTGACGTATGTATTCGAATGCGTTCCATGCACATACCAGTAGGCATCACCAGATGGCCACCTGCCGCGCGCAACTGGGGTTCTTGCCATGGTGTAGTAACCTTCCTCAGTTGAGATGCCAGTGTGGCGCTCATTATGGAATAGCCAACAACGGTGTCGACGAGGGTGTTGAATGCATGCTTATCGACGAAGATGGCGATTTCGGCAGAAATGATCTTTCTGCTGTCGGAGAACACTGCGAAATCGGAATGGTCCTCGTCGGTTCGTTGTGTCGAGGAAGAGTCTTTTACAGTTCACCGGACCGAAGTGGTTCCTAGTTTCTCCTGCGGGGACTTGGTGACCGGCTCCTGAAAGAAGCAAAAGATGACGAGGGCAAACTGGGTGACGTAGACCAGTGAGGCGATGGTGATCTCGACTGGTGGTGCTGAATAATCAAAGGAGTTCGCTGGCCCGTGAGATAGGCTTCGATTTCCCGGGGGACGCTTACCGTAGCGTGGACATCGAGCATAATGATGGAAGCCGCGGAGACCTAGTTGCCGGTATTGACAGTTCCGGTATACGTGACCCGCTTTGCTGCAGTGATAGCAGAGCGGACGATTATTTGAGGTGCGCCAAGTGCTTGCCTTGCTACCAACTTTGTCTTGAGGCAGGCGGTAGAAGGGAGGGTGTGCTTGGAAACCTTGAGCCGAGAGGCGGGCTCAAAGCAGTGTCGTGGAACGATGGCATAGCCTGGTACCTTGGCCGCATAGCAGGATCTTTAGCCAGTGGCGCAGGGGATCGCAATGCCGCTGCGTATGTCAGGACTGGCGCCTCCCAAATCGGTGGTGCAATTGGGGCCAGGGGTGTGACTACCTGCCGAACTTCTTGTCTGATTACATCTGCGAAGGCTGGAACAAGTGGATGGGATCCCACTGCCTGAAGTTGTCATAATATGTCCCAAACGATACTTCGAATGAAGTCTGCGAGGGCCTTTCTATCGCTGTCAGAGACGATAGAGCATGCGGTGGCCGGGATCTGGCGTTTGTATTGTGACGACCGCTGCTGCAGAGTACGTTCCATCGTGGTTGCCTCATTGATGAACTCGGCGACTGTCGTTGGTGGATTGCGCACGAGTCCAGTGAAAAGCTGTTTTTTTACTCCGCACATCAAATGCCGCTCCTACTTTTCCTTTGGCATGGCACGGTTCGCGCGCCTGTAGAGCCGAAGCATGTCCTCGACAAACATGGAAACTCGTTCGTTCGGCCGCTGGTTTCTGCAGGGTATGGCTTGTTCAGCCCTCTCCTTCCTCTCAGTGTAGCGATAGGCGTCACGGAGCTGTCGGCTAAACTCTTGCCAGGTTGCAAAGGAGCCCTCGTGGTTCTCGTACCACGTCTTCGCAGAATCTTCCAAGTAGAAGTAAACTCGGCGCAGCTTGCGAACATAGTCTTATTCGTTGATACTGGCAACCCGATTGAAGTGGTCGAGCCAGTCATCAACATCCTCGAGGATGTCTCCATGGAACAGCTTTGGCGTCTGTGGCACATGAAAAACATGCGCGAGGAAGAGAACCATGGGCATCGCTGGCTTGGACCGTCTGGCTTGTCATCGGATTGCTATCTTTCTGGGTGTCGATGCCAAGGGACCAAATTAAGGAATAGCCCACGCAGGCGGCGCCTGCTTCTTGCTCTGGGAGATGTAGCTGTTTCCAAGATGGCCGACACAGCCGAAGCACACGTACCCACTGTCTCCACCAGTATGTCACGAGCAAAACAAGACGCACAACCAGCAGTTCATCAGAACCTGAGCAACGAAAATGCTCTCTTCTTCTCAACCCAAAATGAGTATGAGACACAACGGCTCGTTCATCAATGGTGGCATGCGTCAATATTGATTGGCCACACATTATTTCAATGAATAACACAGTGCTACAACCACAGAGACATGGTGAAAGCTGAGACAATAAAGGTCCCAGCAGAACAAACAATAATCCCCTCAGTCACTTAAAAGTATGAATGTGGTAAAAATTCAAAATACACGTAGCGACAGCTTTTTAAACAGCACGTTCTAGACCCTGAAGTACTGTTTTAGAAGAGTGTCTGACTGCAATAGGTGTGCACTAAGCAGTCAATAACCAATTTTAATTATCGGCCTCTACTTTCTAGAGCACTGCTCAGCAGGCACGAACTCTTTTTGTACTCTTCATCTGCTCAACATGTTATGCTTCCTCTCTAAACTACTGCACGCCAAGCTAAACAGCTAATTAGCTTGACTGAGCTTATAGCTGTGATATGCTAATCAAGCTAATCAGAGATTTTTTTTTTCTAAGAACATGTTAAGCCCACAATAATCAAGCCACGTCATGCCAAGGCCGTGCTACTAAACCCTTTCAGGCGCCAACTGTGAATAACTCTGTGTGTGTCAAGTGGAGATGTTATTTCAAGGCGCTTAGTATTCTATTGTAACAAAAATAATGTCATATGTCCATTTCGAGTTGACAGGAATCGGGTTGACTGGCAGATCGTGGGAAAAGCCCTTGTCCTGCAGTGAACGTAGTCAGGCTGTTGATGATTATAAAAAATAATTCTGCAGGGCTTGTTGCCGAGATTTCCGTCTGTTCATAACTTCTTTTCACTTTCCGCTCTTTTCCCATTTAGCCAATATTTCTAAAAATTGAGCTGTGCAGTAGCGCTCACAAACTTAAAGGTTCTAGTGCCACTAACCGATTCACCGCTCGATGAGCTCGCCCCGGCTTCTTGTGTATCATGTGGCGGTACAGTCGATGCCATGGGCTTTGCTGCGGTCCACGAAATTCTAGACTCCAGTGGTGTTTTGGTGAGCTCTGGAGTGAACATCGTCTCATGTGCAATAGGACCAACTGCAGATTCTACAGCTGCTGGTGTGGATCGCTGCTGCACCATAGGTTTTGCAACCTGCGAGATGCACCAGTGTTTATGTTTATTTAGGATTCGCACATTACACATGGGAGAGGCATATTACAGATAAAACATGACCAAACAGTTGACATAATATAAGCAGGAAAACTTGAATAATATAAATTTCTTTATAAAAATGATTAACTATCGCATATGTCAATAGCGAAGTTACAACTAATGGTAGCCCATTAGACATCACAAATTCATGTTAAACAGTAAAAAAAAAAGAACAAGTAATGAAATATTCAAGAAATTCAGAAGAATGACAAGTTAGGGAGAGTTGCAAAAAACTGACAGCAACACGAATGGAGAAAAAACATAGACGAGCACGACTATCACCAGAATCTTTATTAAAGTGCCTCAATCTTACAATAAATCTTTAGTTGCTCGTCTGCGCTTGTCTGTCCTCTTCTCTCCTTTCGTGTTTCCGTCCATTTTTTGCACAGCTATATTATGGTAAATTAAACAAAGCACAGTCAAGCAATGTCAAACATGCTATTAAGAAAGAACTCGAAACATGATGGACCTTTGGCGATAGCAATAGCTGATTGTGGTAGTAGATTCCATTGAGCTCTAGGTATAAATGCACGCAAGTAGGTTATGGCTTTATAGCAATAAGCGTGAACTTTTTTAGGTATAGATTACACAAAAGAAGGCAAATTAAGAAAGTGTTCATGAAGATTAATGTTGAGACAAATTTTATGAAGGAGAGTGAGCTAGGCTATTTATTGCCTAATGGTAAATTATAAAAGTTGTAACAAGAGCAACGACTTGAGAAAATGCCCCTGTTAGTCCTGATCTCTCAGTTTAGGGTCAGACAAGATCTCCCGAGTGATATAAACCATAGATCGTGTTCATAAGTGATGATATTTGACACTGTCTTTGCGCTCTTGAAATGAGTAATAAAAAGTCTAAATAAAGTAAAGTGTCACTATAGTGAAACAATAAATTGATTTATAATTAATTGCCAATAAAAACTCAAGTATGGTTAACTTCCCTAAAAAATCAATGTGCAAGGTCCCACTTTTAAATTTCCCCCCCAAAATCCCTAGTAGTGATGTCACTGTTTTTAATTTTACTTATTTATTTATTTTTAAAATTTCGTGATGCAGATTCCACTAAGTTTCTTGAAATTCGCTATGTTGAAGGCCTAGATATAGTCCAGCCCAGTGTGCAGGCATGCTGTGGTTAAGGTACGCCACCAAAAAGTGGAGCACTTACTAGTCTGACGTCCCGGCAACATTCGGTGTGCTCCGCGAGTACAGTACAAAGGTAGAGCGTGCTCTTATTTCACATGCTCCAGGTGGCTGCCGTTAGACCACGATGCACTATGCACAGCTACGGCGGTCTGTAAAATGGCTGCGTGTGGGTCACGTTTGGAAAGTGCAGCCATGGCTTACTCTACATTGAGTGACAATTACATAATTTTATGTCCGTTCGAACAGATTATATATCACATCTGCATGTTGACCAGTAACGGTGGATACTCGTGAAAAACGTAGAGAAAAACAAACCTCCTGGGAAGCCTTCGAAATTCACTCTCGCGTGTATACATACATGACTCGCTTTCCTTTCCAAAGCAACTTTTGTAGTTATTTTTTCTGGCTCCACGAGCATTTAACACAATGCTTGTGAAGAAAGAAGTTTTTGCCAAGTCAAAAGGGTGTAATTCTCGATGGGTTCATCAAGTAGACCTTTCCACTTCAGCGGAGCGTATTCAGTTACTCGGAAAAGAGGCGAGACATGACGATATGACCACCTCGATGCACCTAACCCACCAGTACATACCTGTTTAAAAAGAAAGTGGATGAAATGTGCACAGTGGACTCCCGTTAAGATGAACTCTGTTAAGACGAATTTTCATTTAAGACAAACAGCACGGGAGTGTTTGCTTGGTTTTTCATAGACTCAATGCAAAAAAAAAAAAAGATCTTTTTAAGGAGAGATGCGAGTCGAAAAATCGCGTTTTTAGCGAAATTTCTCGTATTTCTGATTTTTATTGCATTGTAATCTTCAAACCTTCTTTTTTCATCTGTGAAAATTTCAAAACTAAATTCGAACCGCAGAATGCAAAAAAATGTGTATGAAGGCATCGCGGTGGCTCAAAATTTCGTGAATTTGCGCCGATATTGGCCATCTTTGACTGCGCGCTGCTCCCCGTCGCAGTGCCGCCCGCCATCGCGATCGGTTGGGAAAGTTGATTGATTGATTGATATGTCGGGTTTAACGTCCCAAAACCATCATATGATTATGAGAGACGCCGTAGTGGAGGGCTCCGGAAATTTTGACCACCTGGGGTTCTTTAACGTGCACCCAAATCTGAGTACACGGGCCTACAACATTTCCGCCTCCATCGGAAATGCAGCCGCCAAAGCCGGGATTCGATCCCGCGACCTGCGGGTCAGCAGCCGAGTACCTTAGCCACTAGACCACCATGGCGGGGCTCGGTTGGGAAAGTTGCGTCCAGCCTTCTTCTTACAGCTCTGACGACCGCCAGTTTCGTACGTGGGCAAAAAAAATTAAAAACGAGGCCTTTTTATCACGTGGTTCGAGCGGTTTGAAACGCGCGGCACCCTAAGCCGCATCACCATTGGCTACCGAGTCATTGTCAGCTGTGTTGGTGGCGGCCATCGGCATTTGGTCCGTCTGCTTTTCTGCGCGTCTACGCATATTTCCGCAATGATTAGCCCAAAAAAGTGCAACGTGAGACCGCAGAAGTTTCGAACGAAGCACAAGTTCAAGGGAAGGCGGCGTAAAGCGCCCCGAACGACGGCGACGAACGAAAACGCGCCTACGTGTGCTAGGCCTGACGGCGGCATCGACGAGTGCGCGAGCGACAGTGGCTGCGATGAAGAGATTGACGCTGCGCTTTCTTTCGTCAGTGCTTGGGAAAAGAAGCTCGGCTTCTTCGAAAAAGATGAAAGACAGCGCGATGAGGTTTGTGCAACGACAGTTTTGTGTGACACCCTCTTGCTGACGGCACTTGTGGCAGGTGGGGCATGCCCTGCTTGCGGTATTCAAAAACTTGCCGTTCAGGAGCCGGCAGAAAAGCGCAAGGGACTTTCGTCGCTCCTCGAACTTCATTGCGAAAACAGCGAATGCTCAGCGACTGTTTTTTCGTGCTCCTATACGTCACTGCGTGTTACGGGGGACGGCAGCAGCCGAGTGAGCCAACGGTACGACAGTGGGAGCTCCTGAGATAGTTTCGCTGTAAATGTGAAGGCGGTGGTGGCTGCACGCGCTGTCGGCATTGGGCATGAGCAATTGTCGAGATTTTGCTCCATTATTGGACTCCCAAAGCCAATGCACCACTGAGGATTTTTTTTCGATAGCAAAGAAGGTGCACACCGCTGCCATGGCAACTGTGAGTGAAAACTTGCGCCGATCCAGAGTTGACGAAAGAAGTAGCAGGCGAAACTGATGTGGCTGTTATTTTCGACGGCACTTGGCAGAAGAGGGGCCACAAAAGCCACAACGGAATTGGCGCAGTTATCTCCTTAGATACTGGTCTCTGCTTAGACTTCGAGGTCATATCAAATTACTGCCTGACATGCAGTAGGCACAAGGATATGGGCCCAGACAAGGAAGTGTGGCAGGCATTCCATGGCCCAGTCTGTGAAAAAAATGCAGACTGTTCCTCCCATGCCATGGAAACAAAGGCTGCAATGTGCATTTGGCAGAGAACATTGACTTATGACACCCCACTGCATTTCATGACATTCTTGAGTGACGGTGACAGCAAAGCATATAGTGCAGTTGCAGAGTCAAAAGTCTATGGTGCTGTCAATATAGAAAAAGAAGACTGCACTAATCATGTGGCCAAGAGACTTGGCACCGCGCTACGGAAGCTGCATGTGCCATTACCGCGAGGGCAGAAAATGAAAGAGCCAGCCATTCAGAAGCTGCAAACATACTATCAGATTGCCATAACAAGCAACAGGCGGAGTGTATGGGATATGTACACTGCAGTATGGGCTTCATACTTCCACTCATGCTCTACTGACAATGCTGGCAGCCACAAGTTTTGCCCTGCAGGAACAGAGTCGTGGTGCAAACATCAACGCGCTGAAGCACTTGGTGAACCTGCACCACGCCACACACCTCTCCTGACAAAAGCACAGAGATTGGCTGTTTTGCCCATTTATAAGCGGCTAACGGATGAGAAGCTCCTTGTTCGATGCATCAAAGGGAAAACCCAGAACGCTTCGGAATCCCTGAACAGCAAAATTTGGCTACTTTGCCCCAAGACTAAGTTTGTCTCCCGAGCGGTTGTCGAGACTGCCGCAGCTATGGCAATCCTGTGGTTCAACAAGGGTCATGCTACTTTCGAGCACATCCTGGAAGAGCTCAACATACTGCCATCTAGAGATCTAGTTACTTTCAGTGATTCCCGCGATGCGAGGCGCATCAAGAGAATGTCCGAGCGTCTGACAGCAGAAGCAAGGACCCACCGTCGTCGTGGAGTGAAAAGGGCACGGCTAGAAGAGAGTGCTCGCAAGGACCGTGAGGGCACAACCTATGCTGCAGGACAGTTCTAGTAACTTGCAGTGCTTTTCAAAGTTCTGTTGAACATTATGGCCAAAGATTATGCATTTATAACAACTCTGTGATAAAAAAAAAAGGCTTCAAACTTTCAAATGCGTTTTTCTCCTTTTGCAGTTTTGTGTGATCTGTGCTTCTTATACACGCTAGTTCGTATACTTAGAACTGTCATACCTCTATGAAATTTTGCACATAGCATGATGAAGGCCCATAGAGTGCAAGTATTTATTCAGATTGTCAGTGCTGCTTGATTGTGTTTTTCAAAAATTACATAACATTGAAAGCTCTTGGCAACTAGAGCCATAGTAAATTTTTCTATTTTATTATTGTATTTCACCTTTTTACACACAAAATTGATATAGTTTTTTGCACTCTACAGTTCCAAAGGATCATAGTCAGCTATATCTGCATGCTTTATCTCAAACTTTTATAGGTCAGAATTGTTGCATAACAAT